GGATTCAACATGAAGAAGAAGATCTCTAAACAGGTAGAGGTAGTCAGGTCAAGATACCACATATTCGTCATCCGAAGCTATGTATACCACAAGTTTATTTGGTCGTGAAGGTAGTCGACCCAACATAGCCGTAGACCCTTTCACACACCAAGTACTGCAAAGCACGAGCAGCTCACACAAATATACTGGTGTATCAGTAGTACTGGGAATTGAGTATGGTCATCGATCCCACAGGGATAAACTCAATTTGGAAAAGTTCTAGCTTACAATTGTTAGTCATAGCCTGAAATGTTAAAGTTTTGAAGTTTAATAAAAGTGCTTACCCTAATTTTTGAAAATGAACAAACACTAAGTTTTAAAACAATTAAGAGAAATTAATTTTGATTAAAAAATGTCCTAAGAATTCTTCTTTGAAGTGGTTCTGTAAGGATTCAACTTAGCAAATGATTGATTAAAGGTGTCCAATAAGAGAATAACAAAAGCTTTCTTATCTCCTTCTGGTAGTGTAAGAAAAGTTGACGATTAGTTTATTTAGTTCCCTAAATCAAATGAAAAGTCCAAGGCAACCTTGCTTCTTAATCAATTTGCATGAATTCAAATGAGATCTTCTTATCCAATGGGTTCATGTGGCTAACTTAATCATTCCTTATAGATTCCTCCCAAAAATTTTTAATCATGATTAATTTTAACAAATTAGCTGACTAAGTTAATAGTCTATGAGTTTCGAAGTTATTCCAATATCATTTAGAAATTTCACATATAATTCACACCAACTTGCTTAGCCCTTATCCCTACATTTCCACAACAAAGGAGAATATAAAAATCTACTCACTGAGCATGTCAAATTTCATCAACATCAACATCAACAATAAAATTAAAAGTAAAACTCATACATAAGAGACTCAGAATTGTTTCTTAAAGAAGAACAAATAAAAAAACTCGGCATACTTATTTTCGTTATGTCCAGGAAAAGCAGAATGAATTACAAGCACACTCAACAATCTCTCAATCTCACAAACTCTCTTTGATCTTGTTACAAAACTTTTAACCGCTTTGCTAGATATGTGACATTCTCCTCCAGAATTTTCTTCCCATGTAAGGAAAAAAAGAGAACAGATGAAAAAAACCCCTCCTAAATTCGTCTCCCCCACTTTTATGTTTTCTCCCCATTATCTCTAGGTTTGAACTGCTTCAACTACCCATTTCAGTTTCGGGCACCTAAGCACCTAGCTGCTAGTACATAGGTGTCAAACTCTCCATTTGGAACCGCACATCTAGCTCCTAAGCGTCCACTATCATGACGCCAAAGTGCTCATAATGTTCTAGCACCTAATTGCCACTGTCCAGGCACCTAAGTGTCAAACTTCATTATGTCCCAATTCTATTCCTCATGTTCTCCTTTCCTGATATTTCCAACAAAGCAACAAAATCCTTACTCAAAATGCAATATCACACATAAAATTCAAAAATACAAATAACAAAGAATGCAAAATTATTAACACATCAGACCCCCTCAAAGCAATCAATGAATTGCGTCATCCAAGGAAACCTCGACAACTCTAAAGTTGAAGGAAGAAACTCTAGTTCCTATGACCCTAAAAAGGTAGAGCTCAAAGGGGCGGGGCTTACGCATGCCAAAAAAAATGACAGAGCCGCCATTGGAAAGAAGATAAAAGAAGATTCAACTACAAAGCTAGAAACACTTCACACAAAAAAATTATATCATGTCTGGGTTGGGGATGCCTCTAACACCTTAGCCGTATCAGACAGTCTCCTAGGTAAAAATATATGTTGGGCTAAGTCAAATATGGAGAAGCACAGGAACTTCTCCTCGGGTATATGCAATATGATGCAGTTGTCCGCCACCATTCTATGTTGTGAATGCCCTATTAATTATTATTGGGGATATATTCATGCATTCAACCCATTTTAAAATTGGCTCGAAGACCATGCATAAAAGTAAAGTGCAGGTTTTGAAAAATCCAAGATATTTTAACCTTAAATTTTAATTAATCTTAATATTTTACTATTAAGATTTTGTAAATAGTTTAAAAATTTTAGAGTCCTTAATGAGCATAGATTATTTTCAGGATTAAACCTTGACAATCCACAAATAAATAAGAGAAAATAATTTCAAGCACCAAAGTATTAATAGAAAATAAAAGCACTTCCAAAATAAAAATAAAAAGGTTGGTGCCGCTGGGTTGGCGACATATCACAGAAAAAGTAGAAAAAGTGATCAGGTGTCACATAAACATACCCGGTATTAATTCTTTATCAGAATATAAATTCGGACTTAAGGTACATAACACGAGACTGCTGCTCCTGCTCCCCCTTCACGTGGCTCGATGCATCGTATGCCTCAAGGCCCGTGCCAAATACATACTCGATCCTAGAACTATATCAAATACATGTGAAAAGAAAAAAACTCCATCTGCAAAAAAAGTTAGCACGGGCTAACATGCAACGCATATAAGTCATGCCTAGTGGGAGGAGCATAACACTGCCTAAAAAAAAAGTGAGTATAAATCATTACATTGCTTCCTCTTATTAAACCTCTATGTGTGTACATTTTGGCATGACTCCCTACAAGAAAAATCGACTTAATATACTATTGAGTATATACAAACATGGTAAACATGCAAAAACACAAAGAGCACGAGTCGAAAAAGTCACCTAGTTAGGACAAAAGGAGCCAACACAAAACAATAGTCAGGTGCTAAAATACCGCCTAACAACTAAAAATGATTTTTTTTATTAAGGTTTGGCATCACATATGACCTAACTTGTTATTTGCATAGTTTTAAACTATGGTGGAGTCCATAAGTAAAGAAAATACATTTTTTTTTAATTTTAAAATAGGGTCATTAAATGCGGACTCGTAAAAGGCAAGGCGACACGAGTTAGATACCTTGGATCATTAGCACATTCATACTTGTGTAAATCTTGATCTTTTAACTCACATTGCTTCGCGAGATGCACCCGACGAACAATGCTCATTAAAGCATCGAGACCGACACCTACCGAGTCAGGCTCGCTATCGAAACACACATATAGATGCAAGTACAAGCATACGACATACAAGATCATCAATAATGCAAATGATGAACTCAAATGCAAATATGCTATACACTCAATGAATTCAAAGGCTCTAAGGGATAACTTGATAGTGTATACAACATGAAAAGACTTGCGACGCTTGAGTGTGACATCACAGGAGACATGATGGTATGTCCACTGTTATAGAAAATTCACACACCTGTGAGTTAACATTGCAAGCCACCATTCACCATAAAATGTGAATATCATACCATACACATGACGACATATGCGTGCAGTGATATCACAAGTGTCGGTGCTCATTGAGACACCAAATATAGGCACGTGCAAAGATTTAAATTTTTATCATGCAAATGAGTTTAACATATAGCATAACATTAAAAAAAGAAGTATAACTTTCATCCACATACAAATGTAAGCTCAAACATGTCATGAGGAATGAATAAGATGTAAGTACACATGCAAAACACACGAATATGCAAGTGAAGTTGGCCACTTATTGGTTTGGTCGGGGCGGTCGACCGGGTGTCATGATCAATAGGGTCCATCGGGCCAGGATGCGATCGAAGTGATCAGCCGACCGGGTCGAGGCCGCCGGTCAAATCTAAGTGATAGGTCGTCCGGGCTGGAGTGGTCGATCGGACTTACGTGATCGGTCGATCGGGTCGGGGCAGCTGGTCGAACTTAAGTGATACATGCTATGTGTTATATGCAAATTGCGATCAAACATACAAGCATATGCAAACATCCATGTCCGATTGCGAACTTTAGTCATCCTAACGATCTAATGTGGAAAACCTAAGGGTAATCAATGAGATAAAGTGGGTGTCGCTACAAAGCGACATGTGTCCGCTTCTATTTGCTAGGTGTGAAGGATCTTTGTTGGGAAAGATCTTTGCGGTGTAGAAAATGTCAAATTTGTGAGACTTTCTGTTCTCTATGTCTAAACGATGGACTTCGATCTTCTCGTCAATAGGGCGAAATCACCAGAGCAAACATGGAATTGAACATCCCTACGTTTTGGATTTAGGTCTAGAAAGAAATGGGTAGGTTCACTCTTCAGATTCACTAGAGAAAGTTCGCTAAAGGCTCCTATTCCAACATTAGTTTCCTCTATGCACAACAGAACCCTAACCAAGCTTCTCTAACGTGCAGACCTCGGGGCCCTAATGGAAGTAAAATGCAAGGGATCGAAGAAATCTCACCACTAAGGAGGTTGAGGACACATTCTCTTTGACTATCCACGCTCCTACGTTAGTAGGACGAAGCTATACTCGTCGGAGAGGGTGACGAAGCCGGACTCCTTCCCCAAAGCAATGAAGAAGCTCTCCTTGCCAAATTGAATGTTGAGATTGCTGGGTTTCGCCTTCCCCAATGTTAGGAAGAAGCTTCTCTTCCCAAAGGAGATGGTATACCACCTTCAAAAAACTCCTCCTCAATGATCCCCCCTCACTTTATTTCTCAAGAAGCTTTCAAAAGAAAACCCTAAAAAAAACACTCTAGGAATTTGGAGGAAGAAGAAAAGGTGATGAAGAAGAAGGTGAGGAAGAAGAATCAAGAAGATGGAGAGATTGGAAGAGAAATCCTCCAAAAGCTCCCAAGGTTCTCCAAGCTCTTCTCAAAAGCTCCTCCTATTTCCTTGCCCTTTTTTTAGTGTAGAGTGGCTTGGCCTTTTTTGTTCCTTTAATTGCCGCATGGTGTATGCCTTGGATACATGTGATACTCCAGGATATCATTAGATATGACCTATTTTAATACCTTCCATTTTAGTTTTCTGCTCCATTTCTTTTAGATATATATATATATATATATATATATATATATATATATAA